AAGTTTAGCAAAATGTTTACTTTGGATTACAATTTTTAAGCTTGTTTTTATAATAATTAATTTAACAAGTTAAGTTAAGGAACAATACAACATTTCCTTTACTTATCTGTAAGCTACAAATCTTAATGAAGGACCCTTGCAACTTCTACATAAGTACTAGTAATTACTGGATAATTACTCAGAGCCAAATTTGGTTATTATGGTAGATTGTAAATGCTACATCGTTAAGCTGTATTGAATTACACATAATGGATATGATTCTTACTTACTTGGCCTTCAATAGCAAAGGCGACTTCGAACCAAAAGCCCTCAAGGCTATCCTACGGCTTAGGCTAATGAATTCCTATTGAAATTGACTGTGAACTATCTCTTTCAAATTCAAAATACCCATAATTTGAGCAAGCGATCCTATTGTCTATTTCACCAAGTTTAATTACTCGAAGGGCAGACGCGATGTTCGACTGGTCGCAATGGAAACCTTTTATTATAATTTGGCCAAGACATGCGGCCAGTTGGATGAGTTCGAGCGGAAGTGGGTCCCCTGGGTGACCCCAACTAAAAACCTCAAATAACGCAAAGCACAAACAATCAGTTACGATCCAGCCGCACGCCATGGCCAAATATTGGGGAGTTTGGGTTGGTTGAGTTGGCTGAACGGCGGCATCATGTCAAAATCCAAAGCCACAAACAATTAAACAAAATTGCAAATTAGACGTTATATAGACCAGAAATACCGCCCAAAAAGTTGACAGCCACCGCAGAACAGTGTGCATTGTGTGTACAGTGAAATGTCGAGAGGAAGGAAGTGTAGGAAATTGCCTATTTGCAATTGTAATTTATTCATTTTGCTTAATATGCCGTGAAGCGCAAGGCTTTCACTGCCACTGCCGCTGTCCCACAAACAAAACAATAATTTTCTCATATTTTTTTTCGGTTTGTTGGTGCTCGTATTTCCAACATTTGCCCGCCCATTTTTGGGGGTCACCGACTGCTTGTCAATTGCAATGGTTTGACTAATGACTCGACCCGGTGCCAAGGTCATGGAAAGAACCCATTGTTGTCGATTTCAATTAGGAGCTACGCTTAATTTGCATAATTATCATAAAGTTTGACGAGGGATAACGAGCCAGTCGAGTGGGAAATTGTCCTAGTCCAACTAGGATTCTATCTGAGGGATATGGATGGATGTTGTACTCCTCGAGCATGCAAATTAGGTCTTGACTTGTCCAGAAATGGGTTCTTTATGTAAGGCCGTGTTTTTGCAGTGATTACCTAAAAGTGATTGGTTTTTCCTTAATTTGTAGCTGCGCTTAAAGCAAATGTAAACTAAATGCTAACAATGGGCATGAGCTATAGCAGCTATAGGTGTAATAACCATATTTTACATATTATTACTGGGAAAATCTAGGTTTAAACGTTTACCAAAACAGAACATGGCAAATACATGTATCCTGGCATTTGTGGTCTCTGCTCCTTTTGTTCTGCCTTAAAAATCCCTGCCTTGCCGCATTTTAAGTCTCCTTTAGACTTAATCCTTAAGCTGTTACTCTCAATTTGCACAGGATCTTTGATTATTGAGGGACTCACCAGCCAACCTGAGGCTCTTTTCAGCAGGATGCTTTGGCAAATGGACTGCAGAATCGGCTTGTTGCTGGTCGATGGAGCTATTTAGACAGATTTTCCCTGGCACCTTTGGCTCACCTTCGGTTTGCCTCGAGGAATGGGCCCATAGATTGCAGTTTTATGTCACAACATTCAAACAAATCGCCGGCCATTTAAAACGGTTTAAAAGCCATTGCTGCAGCCCGTAACAGCCACACGGTGTCCTGAATTTTCCGGGACAGACACAACAGACAACCGCTGGGCGGAATGGGCTTTCCACCAACACCCCATTTCACCTCCTCTTCTTCTAAGTGTTTTCCTTTCCGGAGGGATGACAATAAATGAGCGCCCATTTGCTTATGGTTTTTCTAGAGCCTGGGAAATTGTTTTGGCTGTCGAATTACGTAAACATTGTCATAAATGAAAAATTTAGCAGTCGTAGCCGAGTCAAGCATTTCATTTGCTGTGGCAAATTTGTCAATCTCGTCGAGCGTTTTTTTTTGCCATCACGACTTTGGCCCAGTTCTGGTCTGGTTTTTTGTGACCAGACGCCGCAGGGACTCACATGAGGAACTCCCCTTGTTGGTCTACTAACTTTGTTTTGTTTTGGTTTCGGTTTTGGCCTGGAATTGCTTTCTTCTCTCGTGATGGAAGACTTTCTCCGTCTGCGGCAGGCGCGACATATTAATTATTCATTTCGATTTTGGTTTGCCTCAGCAGCAGGATACCAGAAAGCCCTACAAGAAAAAAAAGGCCCCAAAAAACCCCGAAAAATCCAGCGAGCCTCTTGTGATTTATAAACACGCGCGTCGCTCTGGGTGATTTACTGCAAATTGCTTTATAATGTTATATACATTTTGTAGACGATTCTGCTGCTATTCGGCGGCTTGCCTGCTTGCGAGTAATTATAAGGGAAACGGAAAGAAAAATGAGGCACGATTTGTTGGGATTTGTAATCCAATGGATTAAGTTCACGACCTTAGACTTTCAGCTGTTAACAGTACAAAGATCAAAATATTACCAGGCTTTGGAGTGCCTTTGGGTCTTTTCTTTAACCCTGTTAATTATTATATCATTTTAATTACTGGTGTGAAATGTTTTTAAGATATCTATTGATAGCGAGTCAGGATATACATGGAAAAATATATCAAGACATTAAATTCAGGCATTAAAAAATGTGAGTAGTAAAAGGTGAATATTAGATTAAACTTTCCCTGATTTTATTAAATTAGCTTAAAGTGTGCTGCATTTAAACTGTCTTTGAATAAGTCTGTTACTTTAATATTACAACAAAATGAACAGATTTGAATATTTAATTAATATTAATATTCAAGAAAACCTTCAATATTATTGTTTAATAACCAAGAAAGGAGTTCACCAGAATCAGTTATTCAGCAGCCATTTCTTTTCATTTGCATTAGTAATTTTAAAGCCTGGCCTCGAAGCATTTTTAATGATTATGGAAACGGAAGGAAGGTAAATACTTTCACGAGACACGTAAAAGTAAAAGCAAATCTTTGTACGTTCAAATTTACATTGCACATCTGTGAATGTAGTCCTACAAACGAGTGTTTGTGGGAATATGTGTGCTTATGTAAATTTTGGTAGCCCACTGTTTTCTTTTTTTGGTTGGCCAGCGCTTTTTATTGTATACATTTTTCGTAGCTGAAAATTAGAAATGTTCCACTGCGTTCAACTTCACTGACAGTGCGTGGCAAATTGCTTTCCAAAGTCTGAAGTCTGGCATGTCTGTAGGACGGCGAAGGCACACACGTTGCTGCAGAAAAAGAAATATTGATTAATCTAAGATATTTACAAATTACCTAGTACTTAAAAAATATATTTAAGCCATCCTAAAAATTGAAATAATGAAAAATATATAGATATAAATATTTTAAATAATATTATTATAATTTTAGTTACCAAATGACCTTACATTTTGCTCTCTGCACAACCGATAGCTAACAATAATAGCAAAAAATGGCTTTTTTTGCCTTGCTGCCTTCTTTCCGTTTCCTAACAATAAGTGCGGAAGAGGGGGAAAAGTTGGAAGTGGTCGGGATGATATAGGACCCTATATGGCTGTTCGGTGTAGCGGTAATTTGCATGTGCAGACTATGGCACATAATATCCATGCATTAGAATTATGAATCCCCTCATTTCCCGCTCCCCGAGCATACAAATAATGGCAACGAGTGCCGGAAAAAAATCTTACTACATAAATGCGCAAAAATCGAAATTTCCCTCGCATATTACGGCGTGTGCACACGGCGTATGCGTAATAAATGTGCCTGCTGCCATTATTATGACATTAATGCCGATGAATCGATCATATCCACTGGCAGGCCATAATTATAGTGCGTTGGAATAGTATAGTACCAATATATAGTACTGACGTCAGTCTACTCCCAACTTTAATAAAACAAACTAAACAGAGCGGGACACAACTAAGCTGCCTGGCAGACAGGCAATTAAGTTAATTACTGTTTAAACTTTCCAGCCCCGCCAGTCGGCTGTCTGAGGGAGCAGAACCAAAAAAAAAAATTCGAAAAAATTATATTTAGCAAATTAAATTCCCAAGTTACTGCCAGAGATTGAGCACGTGGCCTGGTCGAAATTTTAAGTAGGCGAAAAATGAAAACCAAAATGTACCTCTGACTGAAGGAACAGTGGGAGGAAAAGTCAATATTTTGGCGATAAGGCGGGGACTCATGGAGTCATGAAGTGCCATATGCGTTTATAGATCTCTGGCTTTTAATAAGATTAAAAATATATATTTCTGTTGATATATTTGTCGGATTATGAAAAGACAAATACAATATGTCAGCTTCAAACATTAATAAACATATGATAAAATGGTCAATACTTTGGCTTATTTAAAAATTTATACACATCCTTCCATGTCTAAAATAACAATGAAAAGAAATTTGTGTTTTACTAGCTATAAGATAAAATATAATTGATAATTTAATAATTTGTATAATACGAATATTTATATTCCGAAAAACCTTTTACTTTTGCTATTAAAATAAGCAAATAAATTAGCTTCTTATTAGGAAATGCAGTTTTAGCCTTGTATTTTAAGTTTCCATCCACTGTACTCCTACTGCAACGCCATCATTATGCAGGCGGCATGCCCCATTATCATTTTGCTCATTTCCGTTGTCGTTTTTGATTTTGTTGCAGTGGCAGAAGAGGCTGGAGAAAAAGCTGCTCGAGAGTCTGCCAATGAGTGCATTTGGGGTTGGGGCGAAAGGCGGTTTCTTGAGCCCCCAAAAAGAGCCCCAAGACCCCCTTCCCCGACCCCTTTCCATTTAGCCAGCTTTGTCAGTTGCAATAACTTTCGCGTCAGTCCAACCAACAGATCGTAATGCTCTGCTCCGTTCTGCTCTTTACAGGCCACATTTCGTGTACGACGGCATAAAACAGAAGCGGCAAATAGAAAAGCCAAACGGCGGCTAAGTTGCTTTTGTCTGCCTTCGGGGGAGGCGTTGGAGGCGGAGGAGGAGGAGGAGTTGGCCTGGCAATTGGCCAAGTTAATAGAGAGCCGGGGGGGCCGATAATGACGTTGCTGGAGCTGCTGCCGCCCATGCTGATGATGAGGCTGCTAACTTGGTTATTGCTACCAGCCTAGAGACACAGGACCAGAAACAGAGGCCAGTTACCCAGACCCTTCAGACCCTTCAAGCCCAGCGGACCCACCAACAGCCCCACCAGACAGACAACAAAAACAAAGTCTGAAGCTGCAGCGCGGGGCTTACTGCATTTCCGCATCTTGTTCCTGTCGCCGCCCGTCGCTGTCATCGTTATAGCCATATAGCCCCCGTCATTGCCACAGCCGGAGTCACCATGCCCATGGCCCATCCACTGCCGCTCTGCGTGGCCTGGCTGCTGCTCCTCGTCGTGATTGTGATGAGCGGTAAGTGCACAGATAAAAAAGCCATATCGATATCTATATGGGTACTTTGGATAATATAGACACTATTCTGGAGTACCTCAGATATCACTAGGATTGTTAAATCAGTTATATACGTGCCTGAAAGTATGCAACAGTAAATTTTCAGCGACTGTCTTTTTTCATTGCATACTTTAGTACACATTTTTTATTACTTCATAAAGATATTATTTTAGAAATCCAAGGAAATAACCAGGTCTTTTAAATTACTTATAAAGGTGTCTAGAAGTATGCAACAATACATTTCTTTCGCTGTTGCATACTTTTAGACACCTTTTAAAATGGATATGAAATCTTAGTAATTTCTGTGGTATTCCCCATGTACTTCTTTATCTGTTTTTGTAAGTGACAACAGAAATAGATGTACTTTAGTATGGATTTGATATTCGATCTAAAGATTAAATTCTACCTTAATATAACTTATTTTATTAAAATAATAGGACATTTATATTTATTAAAATATCGTTTTTACATAAAACATAATAATTATATTAATCTGTTATCTGGAATGATATAGATATGATATTAAAAAGTATCACTTTTTCTTTTGGTGTACCAACCCGTTTCCTAACATCCCGACCCTTCGGCCTTCCGCCTTTTGCCATATTGTTGCCGCAGTTAATTGTTGGCATTTGTTTGGCGGCGATTCCTTTCCTTTTTGGCCCCTTAATTGTCCGCTCCAGCTCGGGATTTTTGTTTCAATTAACAATTAGTTTTGCCAACTGCTGCACAAAGTTATGCCCGGACGGGCATATTCCATTAAATGAAACAATATTGCGTATACGCCTGGCGGGCCTTGACCAAAACTCGCCATGAAAAGTTTACGCTTGCATCCATCACAACAAAAGTGGTCTAAATAAATGAACACAAATGTATGCTCGGCAAAGGGGAAAAATTCAATAAACTGCAGAAAGTTTGAGAGAAACTTAAATCGGCTTTTACTTGGCTTGCCAAGGAAATAGTTTAAGCTGTTCTTTTTTTTTTAGGAAAAACCCTGGAATAGCTTTTGGTCTTAGCCCCTGGGAAACTCTCTCAACAAGTTGTGATGTCAACAATTATGTTTTCTGGTTTATTTTTAAATTGCATTCAGCATTTATCGGAACCTCTAATGGGCCTTAAATCGTTTTGCGGTTCTTTCACATTTCTGGCATCAATTGAATGTAATTGAGCTCAGGCCCAATTTGCCCTAAAGACCGGCTTAAAAAGATTGTATATGGCCAAAGATTATGCTAAAATATTTTTCCATAACTGACCGAATTATGTTGTAAAACATTTCGACAGCCAGTGGTCATATCAACGGGTAAATTCGACAAATTAGGGAAAAGGCACGTGCCCCCCAGGCGTTTGAATAAAGTTTTAAGCGCGAAATTAACGCAATTTAAACGTGAATGGATTCAATTTCAATTGGCAAAACCGAAAAACTGATTTAATTAACAATTGTCCAAGAGCAGGGACTGTCGAAACGCAGCCCTTAATGCATTTGATTTATTTTTAAAGGGTCGCGAATTTATTGCAGGAATGGCAACAAATAACACCCGAGGAGAAGGGTCATTGGAACAATTCAAAAAGTGCTCGAATTAATTGCATTTTTGGTGCAACGAATGAAACGGGAAAACGCGAAAAAACAAGCGCAGAAAAAAAAACACAAACGGAAAAACAAGTAAATCGAAAAAATAAGCGACGGGCGTGGACATATTTCAAAATTCAATTAAAATAAAACAAAAAGGCGGCAACAGCGATAGCGACACTATGCAATTTCCGCTTAGGGCGTGGCTCCAGTCAGGTGGGCGTAAAAATAATTAAACTGCGACCAAATAAACATCGAACGACGGGGCTTTTGGCCATTTGCAACACACCGAGAGGCCAACTACAAATGGTGGCAGTTTTTTTTTTAGCGATTTTGCCCTGACTTCTGCATCCGACATTCACAACATTTTGCAATTGAATTACGTCAATATGTCAAAAAAGGTTTTAAAAATAACCGGCGATCATTTGGTGGAGAGACCACATAAAATTGCGGAAATAGCACAAGACGAATTAGCATCGCTTTCACTTGGTTTTTAGCTAATAGTGATCAATCCATCCCCCCCTCAATCAATCAATCAATTGCTCTAAGTGCATTTTCCTGTTTGACGGCGGTCAAATTAAAGGGAGGCAAAAAAAAAGAGAAAATTCCACCTGGTAGTTGTTTATTCTGCCCAGGGTTTCAGACCCATATTCCTCTAATAAATTATTTCCAGTCGCTTGGGTGCGCTTTCTAACAAAAAATTCCCCATTTCACCAATTTAAATATTGATTATGATTGATTTAGCGTGAAAGGCCGCAGCTAAATATTGTTTATTTGCCATTGCCACACTTCAATTCAGTTATCGCAGCCCCATTGCAAATTTCGAATTCAATTCGCTGCTCTGTAAATTACACAAAGTAAAATTTACGAGTGCTGCTGCCGCCCTTCATAGGAGTAATTTTAATATGGATATTTTTTAAGTCTCGTGTGCATAGAAATTGCATATTTGAGCAGAACTTTTGGCCAGTGTTTGGCTAACGCAAAATGAAATCAAATAAATAATTGCACTGCCCGAAGGATGGTTCTTGGTCAAATATTTGCAGCAAACTTTTTGGCTCTCCCTGGCCAAGTCATTGAACGTTGTTGGCCTGGCCAGGAACTCAAATAGAGCTGGCAAAAAAAAGGAGAATAAGGGAAAAAATGAGGAGCAGCCAAGTGAAGTGGAGTGAAGCGAACTACCGAGCTCTGCCAAAAAACTTGGCCACGTGCAGCCCACGTAGGTAATTGAGTATGAATGGGAAATGTGTCGAAAGCGTTTTCAGATGTTTGCCAAACAAAACGCTGCAGGTCCTCCAGACACCAGGCAAACTGGCAACCAAAGTAGCTGGAAAATGAATTCGATACATTATCATGACGTCAAGTCGTGCGTGGTGGCGACTGGCGAAAAGTATAAATTACATCAAATGCTATCGAGGGCAACAGCAGCCGCCCATTTCTTATGCGAAACACCTGCAGCTCGCCAAGGAGTCGTAGACCCAATATATACCTTGTAGCTACCCCCCAACCATCCACCCACTTTGACTGGCAGACGGAGGGCCTGAGGTATCCTGGCAAATGTGCGCATAAATGAATTACCAATGAACCGCATGGTTCACGTTTTCAATTTGAAAGGCTGGGCGCTAATTTTCGGGGAGGAATCGCCTGACGGAAGAGGCCCACCTAGAACAAAGACCGTAGAACCATTTGACAGATGTGCTACTCCCGTTTGGACCCAAGAAGGTACAGTGGAGATGAACTAAGGAATCGACATTAAAACGGTTTGATTTGGAAAAAAATAACATAAAAAAAGACAAATATATTGGAAAATAATAAACATTTAACAGAATAGGACTTAATTCTTATTATTATTCTTATCATTTATAAACAGCATAATACGTATAACTCTATATGTCACTTTAAATATTTGATTATTCGCATTGATTAAATATTGTTATTTTCTTCTTTTGTGTAGAAGCTTTAAAAATATATTTAAAAATAAGTTTAAAATAAATTAAATAGCTTTGATAAAACGCCTTACTATATAAAGTCTATCCAAAATTTAAAACAAAAATTTATTGAAACCTAACGGAAATTGTGTTCATTTGTTAAACTAAATACCACAGCTTGAAAATAAGATGAAAATAAGATGTGTTATCTTTTTTGAAATGTATTTTAAAAATGTGCCAAAATGTGTCATATAAAGTCGTAAAATACAAAACTCATTATGATTCTCATTTAAGATTCTATTTGCTTATTTGCTGCAATCTAGTACAAACTTCAATTTAAAAGTGCTTCTTCCGCCATAAAATGGAGCCTGAAGCCAATTAAATTAAAGCTCACATAAAACACACACTTCTTCGCAAGAAGGACTTCTCCCTCCAGACACGAGTAAACAACAATTCACTTAAAGAGGCTCCACTGTAGAGCCAAGTGCTAGCAAGTGCGATGCTGAAGACGTGTGTGAGTGAAAGTGAGAAAGGGAACAAATCGACAGCCTACATAAAAGCGCAATTTGCGCAATTCCAACGTCAAGTTCCATTTGATTACAACACGTTGACGAGGACATACGCACTTCCATGGGATTGGGTGCTACAAATAGACGTACATATGAGTCTGCACCCGGTAAAAGCAATTTCAGCAAATCTGCAATTGTTATGTCGCCTGCTAAACAACTCACTTCGCAGGCAGGCTTCTAGCACGTCAAATATTTATATTGCATTGCCATTCCTGTACCCATTTCTTGATATATATATACATGTTGTATATCTATATATAAGGTATTCCCCTGGCTCTTGTTGCTCTCGTTTTGGGTATTTTTGGGTATTGATTAAGCACCATCGTGGAGCTGGAACAATGGCCCGCCTCAATTACTGCAGCAGTTTATGTCCCCTTACGGACCCACATGTCTGTCTTCCTTTTTTACAACCTTTTTATATATCCTGTATATAGATTGTTAACGTCACGAAAGGGCGGCTACAAAAAACGCACACTCTGGAAGGCATAAATCATGCAAACGACTTGATGGCGTCTATTAGTCTGTTTATAGGCCTAGTTAAAATGTTTATAGAGCAAACTTTACGGTGAGCAGCAATTAAACATAACGGACAGGTCCTGTTGATCTCTGTTTTGCACCCCTAAAAAACAAGGGACTACAAAAAGGTTGGGTCACATAAAAAACAATGAAAACCAGCTTACAAATGTTGCATACCTAAAAGAGATAGTTAAAAAAACATATCAACGGAAGACGAATGAGGGTCATAAATAAAAAAGCATTTCAATTTTTCGCAAAAAATCTAAATTATTACTTAATCAAGCTATTTTTATTTAGCTGAACAATATTATATGTTGTTAAAAGTCTTTATATTAAATAAATACTTAATTTATTGGTTCAAGAATGAGACCAAAGCTCTACAAATAC